TTTGATAGTCTTCTAGACTTCTTGAGTCCGAATTTCTAATATCACTGATAATGAAGAGCATGCTGCGTGCCTAATAAGTGGTGTGCAACTTTGGAGATTTGTGTAAATTTTTAAGGGTGCAATTGTGTTAATTTTCATTAAATCACTGCATCAGTTTTTATTTTTCATATTCACATTTCATTTTTTTCTTCAATTCCAGAGTGCATCAGATATGGTTTTGGCGGACGACAACTTTGCTTCAATTGTTGCGGTATGCTACTTTTTCTCCATTAAGTTGTTTTGTACTTCTTCTATTTTCAGAAGTTTGTGGATAAAGTCCTGTGAAGAAGTCTCTATCTGTCACCAACTCTCTTCCCTCTCTTTTGTACATATCTTGTACAAAGAAAATAGATTTTCGTTGTACATAATCTGTATTTGCATGTATACTTCAATAGAATTCTTATCAAAATTATGTGCTATTCCCCATGTTGAACAGTTATAACTTTGGACAGGCTGTTGCAGAAGGACGGGCTATATATAATAACACAAAGCAATTTATTAGATACATGATCTCTTCAAATATTGGTGAAGTAGTTTGTATTTTTGTGGCAGCTGTGCTTGGAATACCAGATACTCTTGCTCCTGTGAGTTAGTCTGAACTATTAGCTCTTCATCCAGTAAAGTAGTCGTTTATGCTAAAAGGATTCTGTTTATTTTTTGAAATGAGCTTGATGTAAGTAATAATGTGTGCATAATTTATGTCTGTTTGTGAACTCATGTTTTTACCTTACATGATTCATCATTTTCTTTATCATAAATTCATAGTGAAATTATCTGTTAACAGGAGTATCAAGACTCTTATTTCTCTCTCTTTAAAAATTTCTCTCTCTAAAAATCCTCTCTACTTTCTCAATCTTTTTCAACCTTCTACTCTCTACTATCTACTATCTACTATCTCCTCTCTTTCTACTTTACAAGCCCATATTAACACGTTCTCGCAGGCCTCCGACCGAGTGGGTCGGCTGGGAGGTCGACCGATACCTCCATCTTCCCACAATGCTCCCTGAAAATAGCAAACGCTTCATCATTAACGGGAGAAAATCTTTCGACATCATTTGCGATGAAAAGAAGCTTGACGATATGAGAATCTACGAAAACAGAAGAGGAAATAGAATTTCTATCACTCTCAACAAAAAAGAAGTTGAATGGATGATTGAAAACCTAAGTGATTTCTACTGAAACAGAGGCAAAGATTCGTGGGGCAGAAATATTAAAGGACAACATCGTCATCTCTTCCTAGCTTTGGTTTGGAACAGACAGAGCAGAAATCTTGTATTATCGAAAGAAAGAGAATTTTCTATTAAAAGAATTTTTATCCCCGATGGTTTTGAGGCAGGGGATGGTGGCGCATTATGAAAGTCATTTTTGAACTCACTGATACACCTCTAAAGAACTTATTTATTTTTTGAAACAATTAGATCATCTCTCTCTTGTTTTCTGGTCTCATCAGATACAATCTGAATCCTCTCACATATCTTTAAGCTGTCGAACTACAAGCACACCTACCGCTTCATCATTCCGTTGGAAGAGAAGAAATCATACGCAGAAGCTCTGGAATCCCCCAATGCTAACCCTAAGTAGGTGATGACAACTGTACCCGACCCGGCCCGGCCCGACCCGGAATCCCAAAAACCCGATTTTTTGAAATTCAAAAATAGAAAAGAAAAAGCGGGAAATAGATACAAAAGAGGGTCACTTCAACTCATAAGAAGACCCGCCATCCTAAGGAGCCCAGATTCACTTGGACTGAAAAAAAGAAATGGACTAACGAGGCAGACCCAAGCAACATGAACAAATCGAAGTCTAGCCTGACTAGAATGGCACCAAAAAGTTAAGTGGGCTTGGAGAGAAAAGAAAAAGGATCCGCACCCAAACCCGAATCCAAATTCAATCATTATATCAGAGCCACAAACGAAATATGAGAATTCGGTCTTGCAAATTCGAGCCCTAGAATCCCCTATCGAGACATGGCAGCTAATGTCTTTTGCTCAAACTCCTGGTCTGGTTCTCAACAAATTTCATGCAGCTCCGTTATGAGTCTCGAAGAAGAGCTACTTTCTGGTGCGGGCTACAAATTGGTGGTGCATCATTCCGAAACTGAAAGCCTAACAAGCAAGTTTGAAGATTCAGGTTGACAGAGTTCTGTCCGATGTTATCGAGTCTATCGATACTCTTTTGAAAGATAAACATAAGTACGATCCTCAACTATTCTCTGATTGGATTACACAAAATATTTTTTACATCAGTTAACATGTTGGGGCTTCTTTTTTGGTTATGAAATGGAAGCTACAAACTTATTCATTGAGTTGGAGAAGAAGCCAGAAATCTGCAAAAGCGAGTCTATACTCCTGCATACTAGCAAAAAGAAATAGGCAGAAAGTGGATCCAGAGAGCTAAAACGTTTATAGACATCAATCAATTATGAGGGTTGCAGCAAAAAATCCAAGGAATCAGAGGTCGTTTTCATTCAACCCAAATGACTAATAAAATTATTTCTTGGAATGTTAGAGGTCTTAACGACCACAAAAAAAAATTATAATCAAAGGGTGCCTAAATAGATGGAAGCCTACCATCATATACCTTCAAGAAACAAAAATGGAGGTGATCTCTAAAAAAACTATTCGCAGCTTGTGGAAAATGGCCGACATTGGCTCGAATTTTCTCCCTGCTAAAGACTCCACTGGAGGTACTCTAATTATGTAGACAACGAACAGAGTTCAATGTCAGAATGTCTTTACAGGTGAAGTAATTCTTTCCTGTCTATTTTCTAACAAAAATAGCAATACTTGGTATTTATCTGGAGTGTATTGCAGAGGCAACTCAATGGAACGTTTTCAACTTGAAGAGGAATTATTTAACGTCAAAAACAATTGGGGGTCAAGGACATTGTGGGCGGGGACTTAAACATGGTTTTGAGGAGCTCTGAAATATCTGACAACAACTACTCCTATAATGATATTGATGATTTCAGGGCTTTACTTGACAAACTTGATTTAAATGATTTGTCTCTTAAGGGTGGAAGATGGACTTAAGAGTAATCAAAGAAGCCAACCATCTTTCTCTAGAATTGATAGATTCCTTCTATCATCCGAGCTGCTCCTGAAATTATCAGGTGTCAATCAAAATGTACTCTCAAGACCTATTTTAGATCATTTCCCAATCTCTCTGACTATGGATGGTGTCAAATGGGGCCCTGTATCATTTAGACTTGACAACAAATAGTTGGGTTCCATCAGCTACAGAATTGTTGTCAAGCTAACAATCCTAAAGTAGGAAATTAAAAATTGGGCCAGAGATACAGGGAGAAAAGAAGAGAGCATAACAAATCTTATTTCCGAAATTGATGTCCTGGACAGGGAAGAAGAAATTGGTAATTTGACTATTCTGGAAAGAGAGAGGAAATGTCACCTGAAAGCTGATTTAGCCAAGAAACTACAAATGGAAGCTACCTCCTGAAAATAAAAATGAAGAGAAAAGTGGCGCAAAATGGAGATAAGAACTCTAAATACTTTCATATATTAGCTTATCATAGAAGAAGAGTGAATTATGTTGAAGAACTCAATATGGAAGGCAAGTGCATCAAGGGTAATGAGACTTTTAGAGAGGGCGCAAAATCACATTTTCGGAAACTGTATAAGGTGAGTACCAGTTACAGGCCCAAACTTGACAATCTTTTCTTCAACAGTCTTGGTGAGGTGCAGAAAAATCAACTGGAGGAGGAATTCTCCAAGGAAGAGATTTGGTTATGTTTGAAAAATTGTGATGGGGATAAGGCCCCAGGCCCGGATGGATTCGACATTAAATTTTTACAAACCTTTTGGCAGGTCATTAAATCGGACATACTTGATTTTTTCAAAGATTTTCATGCTCATGGAAAATTTGTTCGCTCTCTCAATTCAACCTTTCTTGTTATGATCCCAAAAAAAGCTTAGCCCAAGAATATCAATGATACATTGAAATTTCCCACCTTTGCTTCGTGGATGTCACGCTCATATTCTGTCAACCTAACACAAGTCATTTAATATTTCTCAAATGCATTCTGATATGCTTCCAGGCTGTGTCAGGATTAAAAATTAATCTACACAAATCAGAATTTGTTGAGCTGGGTTGCTGCAATACTGGAAATACATTATGTGATATTCTTAGTTGTAAAAAATTGACCCTTCCCATTACCTACCTGGGTGTACCTTTGGGAATCAAGAAAAACGACAAAAGATGCTGGGAACCGGTGATTGAAACGTGCAACAACATATTAGCCGCTTGGAAGAAGAAATTTCTGTCTAAATGAGGTAGATTAACACTCATAAAGAGCACTCTCTCAAATCTGCCTATTTACTATCTGTTATTAATATTCGCATAAATGTTGCCAAAAAATTGAAAGCCATCCAATGCAATTTTCTATGGGTGACAGTGAAAACAAGAAGAAATATCATCTGGTTAAGTGGTCGGATGTTAAAAAACCTTTGAGGGAAGGTGGATTGGGGTTGAGATCCTTGACTAAATTAAACAAGGCCTTGCTTGGTAAATGGATTTTGAGATTTTGGAATGAGAACAACAGTTTATGGAAATTGGTTATCAACTGCAAATGGTCTAAAGGCAATCCTCATGATCTTTCACACATTCAGAACAGCAACTATGGTATTAGTATGTAGAAGAACATAATTAATTTGAATGATGCTGTTTTTCATTGTTCTAAGTGGTCTATTGGAAATGGACAAAAAATTCGTTTTTGGGACAAAATTTGGTGCGGAACTGAAAAATTCAAAGACAGATTTCCTCATACCTACGCTATCGCTAAGAACAAGCATGCATCTGTTTGGGACGTTGCTGGTTTGGCCTGCCAAGTTTCTTGGAATGTCCCGGTCGCGAGAAATCGTAATGATTGGGAGCAGAGCTGGAAGATTATGAATCTCTACTTCTTACATTGACCAGCATTACTCTTACTAATAGGGATGACAGATTAATTTGGAACCTCAAAAATAATGGATTATTTTCTGTCAATTTGCTGCATTGCTTTCTGGACGGTCAAAAACAGAATATTCAAAGAACTTTTCCATCCAAGATAATATGGAAATCTGGTGCTCCTCCAAAGAAATCATTCTTTGCTTGGGAGGCTGCAAAGGAGAAGATACTCACACTTGATAATTTGATGAAAAGAGGCCACACTATTGTTAATAGATGCATCCTTTGTAAGTAAGACTTGGAAACTTGTAATCACCTCCTTTTGAAATGCCTCACTACTCGGAATCTCTAGAACATGATCCTAGGGCTGCTGGGGGTCTCTTGGGTAATGTCTGAAAATGTTAACTTGGAATTGATGGCTTGGGAGGGTCTAAGCAGCAGCAATAAGTTCACCAGACTCATTTCTCTTACTATATTTTGGGTCATCTGGAAGGAAAGAAACAAACGGGTTTTTGAAGGAGTCGAATATGATTTTAACATCATCAAGAATAACTGGTTTAACTATTTTGGTTCTTATATTTTAGGGCGTAACCTTGATTGTTTTGACGATTTAGGTAATACTGTAGATATGTTAGTCGAGATGTAAATTTTGTACATGGGGGGTGCTCCCTTAGCACCTTTTGATATTAATACTGCTCTTACTTTTGTTTATAAAAAAAAAATAGTGAAATTATCTGTTATATGACTGGAAGGAACTATAATTTTTCTCTCTTTTTGGGCTTTCACTTAATATTGCAGGTCCAGCTTCTCTGGGTGAACTTGGTTACTGATGGATTGCCTGCCACTGCTATTGGGTTTAATAAGCAAGATACTGATGTGATGAAATCTAAACCTCGTAAGGTAGTTTTCCTCATTACTTATAGGGTTTGGCAATTTGAGATCAGAACTATGTCCATTTTTGTTTGTAGGGTTTCCTTTTTTTTTTCCCCTTTTATTGGGAGTGGGAAGGGGGAAACGGGTGGCTTTCATTGAAATGGAAAATTAATCTTCCTAAAGTGGGATCATGCACTTTGCTAGTGGGAACTGCAGGGTGTAGGTAGCCTGAGAAAGGAGCACCTGTTTTTCAAAATATGAACTTCTATGACATGTATACTTTTCTTAAATAGTGAAAAATGTTTTATTCACAAGGAACATAGATATAACCCTCACCGTACTCTGAGATTTATTATATAGGTGTGTATCTTATACAGTTGTAAAACAGTCCTGTTTCTCATCTTCCGTTCCTTTAATTTCATTTGCAGGTTGGCGAAGCTGTGGTCTCTGGTTGGTTGTTTTTTCGTTATTTGGTAGTTGGAGGTATTTGCAAATTCCATGACATAGTTTTGATAATCATATGTGTATTAACTGCTTAACACATGCGATAGTTTGTTTTCTCTTGCAAGAGATTTTCTGAAGTAAGGTTTCGAATTGCAAACTGAGGTGCTTGCAGTATTGTGAGTTGTGGTGAAATCTTACATGCTTTCTACAAATATTTGGTCTTCTGTGACTTGTGATTTGAGTTAGTCACGCTAACCTAATTTCCTTTTGCCTGTTTTCTTTTGTCATCTTATGCTACTGCACGCTAGCCTAATTTCCTTCTGCCTATTTTCTTGTGTCATCTTATGCTACTGTTCAAATCAGACCTCTGATCAGCTTCATCTGATCATCTTAGACTTCTTTCTGTGAGATTATATATTGATAATATACTATCAAACAGTCCCATATTAGTCACATGCTTTTATACTAATTGATTCAGTTACCATTTCTTGCAAGTTTTGAAACAATACATTGAAATTAGGAAGGAGCTATAAACGCCCAATTATGTATTCCTAAATGGGTAATTGCTAACTTTAGGAAATCTTTCAATGGCACATAGAGGATATTATGACCTTTTCCTCTCAGGGAAAGAAGTTACTATAATTCACTTAGTAGTATCATGCAAATTCTGATCAATAGCTTTTTGCTTTGAATATTGTTTGCAGCATACGTTGGCCTTGCCACTGTTGCTGGCTTTATATGGTGGTTTGTTTACTCTGATACAGGTCCTAAACTACCATATAGTGAATTGGTAAGTTTTATATTAAACTAGTGTAGTTACATTTTTGTTCTTGATTTCCTCTTTTTTAATTTGATATTATAACCTTAAAACTGAAGTCTCAACTTTTCCTTTTTTTTCCTTCAATTTTATTACTAATTTTTATGAAGTTAGAACAGAAATTTGTGGATAACATTTAGGAGATGTCATCAAAAATTGATGATTTGGATCAAATGTCTTAAATACTTAGCATGTTAATAAGCATCTACATTGCTAATGATGCGGAACTCAGTATCAACGATGTAATCCAAAACCCACACATACAAAATTAGCACCGAAAGCTTAATTTCTAAATAAACTGTCCCTACTTAATTCACAATCAACCTATAATTGGAACTAAGGTAATCGAGATAAATGAATTGATTATAACTCCATAAAGGAAATCTTGATGAGTTGAAATCAATTGGAAAAAATCAATTTAAGGAAAAAGATTGAATGAAAACGTCACAAGTTATCTTGATATGTGGACAATAATTCTCTAACAAGAAAGGTCGAAGACAACTCACCACTTGAAAAGTTAGAAGCTTTGTGTTTTATTGACTTCAAATTTGAATCTTGAATAATTTACAACTAATTCTTGGGGCCTATTTATAGTTATAGGTTAAGAGAAATATAATGGAAAATAATCTCTCTGATTGATTATAAATATTTATTTAGGAAAATAATCTCTCTAATTATACATTAAATAAAATAAGAACTACTAATGGAGATATGATTGTCTATCTCGCACTAAAGAATATTTGTTACAAATTTTATTGAGATGTGGTCAATCATGTAAAGATCTCTTGAATTAAAGAAGATCTTTTGAAGATCTCTCGAAAATCTCTCGAATTAAAGAAGATCTCTTGAATTAAAGAGAATAATTTCATTCTTTTATTGAATGATATCCGGCCATGCTTAGAAAAAATAGGAACATCCTTAATTTCTCTTAATCTGTCAATAATCTCCCTTGAACCTATAAAGATCTTGTGATAAATGTTTTTTATGTTGGTTTTCTTATTTGTAAAGATATGATTTTGGTTAGGAAACTTGAAAAGATATGATCTTGATTCTCTCTTGATGGATTCTCAAAATTTCTTGATCTTAGTTTTCTTTGTCATTTAAGAAAAATATGGAGAGGGAAAGCAATTTCTCACCAATGGGAGGGATTTTCTTAAGAGGAAATTTGTGTTGTCGTACATTCCCTCTCTTGACTTGATGGATTTGGTTTTCCCTCTTTTCAGGCCTTTCAAGTGTAGCTCAAGACCCCTTTTAATGTGAAACCTGGGATCAATAACGCAATCCAAAACCCCTCATATACATCAGCAACTAGAAATTCGAAACCCTAAATAAACCTTTCTTACTTAACCCACACTCAACAAGGGAGTAAAAATCAAGATAATTAAAATGATGACTTGAATTGATTAAACACCATAAGATGAAACCTTGATAATTGAAATCAATTCAAGAGGGATTGATAAAATGGCACAAGCAATTATCTTAATAAATTAAATCAATTCCTACCCAACAAGAAGATTGACGAAAAATTCACTAGTTGAAAATTAAAACTTTATAATTTTATTATTTTCAAATTTAAATTATTATAAGTAGAAATTGATGAATTATTTATATTATAGGTTTTGTGAATAATAAGGAAAATAATCTCTTAATTTAATGAAAAATTTTTATAGGAAATTAAATTTAAAATAAAATAGGAAAACTAGTAAAATTAAGAGAATTACAATTAAAATATGATAGATATGATCTTCTTTTGTATAAACTTTTTTAAATATGTTTAAATATGTTTTCATTTTTTGCAAGATTTGGCATTTAAGAAGTTTTCCTCTTTTCTCAAACAAACTTATGATTTATGATTAATTTTCTTCCTTAGCCGATTCTCTATCTTAAGAAAAAAGATTTCCTGAGGGATTAGGAAAGAAAATCCTATGGGAGTTTTCCCTTTCTTTGCTCACATCACATTCTTTCATGGATCCATTCTGTAATATAATTTGAAAATCTTCTTTAAGTTTATTGGTCCATGTTCTTGGACTTGGTCCACTTAATTAGATTATTTCTTCCATATGTTCCAAGTCCATCATATGAGGCTTCCAAATTTTGCTTCTCTCTATGTGGGCATTGTTTGTTGCTCAAAACACTTTGATCTACCATAGAACAGCTCAAACCGTGACTTCCAAGGCTTGGATGGTCCAAGCCGCGGTCTCCTCGGTTTAGTTGGTTTTTTGAAGAGTCCAAACCGTCCATGCTCACATCAGCTAATCTTGGTGAAAATTAAATTTGTTGATGAAGTGCTTTAACGTGCCTGATAAGACAGTTCCACCTATGAATCTTCAATTATGAGAATCCCACATCTTAGTCACATATCCTTTCCATTAGGCTTAAATAGAAATAGGCGATGGAAGGAGAAATTGATCGGAAAAATTGTTGTAGACAATTATTTTGAATCTTAATTATTTAAGTTCATATTTCTTGTGAGTAAAAGTATGTCTAGTTGAAGGTTAAAACAAGATTTGAAGATGACAGTTAAAATCTAGAATGTGTTTGAGAAGAATACAAATTTATTTTCAAACTCATATTGTGCTTTCATAAAATCATTTTTCGAACATTGTCTCATTTTAAAAAACTATGGTGTCTCTGGATATATGCATAGATTTTGAAAATAAAAACTCAAACAGTTTTCTACAACTAAACAGTGCATGAAGTTTTTGAAGTCCCAAAAAGAAGACAAAAAATTAGGAACCAAAAATGTAACTAAGCTGTTCAACTATTATGTGAAAGGATTATTGATATATTGTAATTAAGCCATTCAATTATCATGATACACAGTAGCTAGTAAATCACTTTGATGTGAGACAAATGGATGTTCTCTCACTCTCTCCCTCTCTGAAATTTTCTTTCTATTAAGACCTGTTCCATATGCACTTCAAGCTTATTGGGAACTTATGATCCATTTCAGATGAGGTTTGACACCTGCTCAACAAGGGAGACAACTTATCCTTGCAGTGTATTTGAGGACCTGCATCCATCTACTATGTCAATGACTGTACTTGTTGTTGTTGAGATGTTTAATGCTCTGAACAACCTTAGTGAAAATCAATCTGTTCTGTAAGTGTGACTTGTTTCCTTATTATTATTGTAACTTAATCTAACTGTGAAAGCCGAAACTTATTATTCATTGATTTGATTTGAATTTTGTAGCTTATATGACTTAATTAGTTACTACTGATTACATGCTGTTCCTTACCTGATTGTTGAAGAGATTACATATCTTACGGCATGGAAGACTATAGATTTGATAAGGTTGACCATATTTTTTGCCCTTGATTCTTCTTTCTAGTCTTGCCTTTGGTCACCATGGTTTATTCGTAATGAACTCTCATTTTATCAAAACATATTTTCGCTGTAGTGTTGATCCTAGCACTGATGGACGTCCAGAAAATAGTAGTAGTTTTTGGTTGACAATCTACGTAAAGTTTTGCTGGACAATTAATGATGTCAATAATTGGTTGACTGACCAACTACCCCAAAAGCATAAACTTAGAAAAATCCCACTGGTATCATTTATATCTTAGAGAAAATCCCTTGCAGCTCAATTGTGAACCCAGCCACGAGCTAAATATTATGGGCCAACAGATTAAGGATACTCCATTACAAGTATCCCCATAATACTCATTGCTAATTTAGTGGATTATGATGGGGAGATTGATGAGTTTTTGGATCTGATGGCCCTATTATCCAAGTGCTGGATTGACTCCTCTGGGGGTAGTCCTGCTTGGCCTTATCTAAAGGAGGGAGATTTTTAGTGTAGTCAACTTATATGCATATTTGCTGCCAGAACGAAGTGGTAGCCAGATTCTCCTGGAACAAGATTTGGAAAAGCTAGGCAAAACCCAAAATGCCTTTTGAAAAAAAAAAGAATTCTGACAAGTGACGTGGCAGAATTCTCACTATATACAACTTAAGGGAAATGGGGAAACTTGTTGGCAGATGCCCTATGTGCCTTTGCAAGGATTGACCATCTGATGGTTCCTTTTGTTGCTCTCTGGAGTTAGAAGGTTGCGGAATTATTTTTTGAGGTATCCTCAATTTGCAATGAGTTGCTTCATGTTTAGTTGATGGTGAAGTTTGGGTCTGGTCAGATATTGGAGCATGCACATCTAGAGAAAAAACCTCCTTTGTCATGTTCATATCTCCATCTTTTGGGCTATTTGGGGAGAGAGGAACAAGAGTGTTTTTAGGTGCAGTTGCTCTTCTTTTGGTTGAATTAGAGATCACTGGTCCATACCCTGAGTAGTTGGTTTTCAAGGTGTCCCATTTAGTTGATGAGGAACCGAGGAACCTTTTAGACTTTTTGATTTATGTTCTGCCATCCTCTCTATATGGGCAGCTTCTTTTGTAGTGATATTCTTTCTGTCCAAAAAACATGGTTTTGCTATTTAGTTGGTTAATGTGCAAGAGATGGTGATGCAGCCAAAAAAGGAAAGGGGACCAAAGAGATTAAGATTTCATTTTATTCACAAGAACATCTAGTTTCATTCCCTAAATTTATTTATATTTAAACATAAAAAGTGTGGTGGTTAGAAATGAAATACTGTTTAGAAAATGGATTGAAAAGGTAGGATGAATATGAGAAGAATACAAAGTTGCATTTAAGAATTTCTAGAAAACTTTTTATCCAATAATACATTCTTTTTACCTTACAATTTGTTCAAAACTTTCTGTCTTTAATTTAATAACATATTAAGACAGATCATACATGCTTTTTATGCATAGAAGCATGAATTAGAAAATGAAAGAAAATGTTTTTGTGCCAATGGAACCCAATTTTTCCTGTTTATTTGATTAAGTTATAGGTACTTCAAGTTAGTTTCTGATGTAATTGTTTTGTTTTCATATTGATGGTGGAGTTGGTTTCAGTTTCTAAATGCAATAATTTCTTTTCCTTGAGATTGTTAAGTAGCTTCTTTTCAACATAGGGAAGTCTATTCCTCGGGAATAGTCTAAGTTCATTCCCATAGAAGTTTAGATGCTGATCTGTATAAATTTGAGGAGAATTTCAGAAAGGTTTTGAGTTTCCTAAACTAGATGGATATCTAAAGTAGCCCTTACTAGTGACTAAAAATTGGTCGTCAAGGCAGAAGGTTTAGCAAGAATTCAGATAACTTGCTAGACTTTTCATTGCAAAACCCATGATAAAAATTTAACCAACTTTATTTATAACCTGTTCTATTAATCTCCATAGATTCATTATCTTTTCAGATCAGTATGTATTGACAATTCTCTGAGAAATTGGAATATGATATGATATGAAGAAGGCAGCATTGTTTTGATATTTTTTTCTTTTGCAAGATGTTGTTATGCTTGGTGTTGGTTAGATTTAACGAAAAATGCTGCCATAATGCTCTATCACTCTGCTTAATTTCCAGTGTCATCCCTCCTTGGAGTAATCCATGGCTTGTTGCTTCAATTATCCTGACAATGCTCCTTCACATACTGATATTGTATGTGCATCCACTAGCTGTTCTCTTTTCTGTAAGTTGTTTTCTTTTTCAAAATTCACTGTCAAATGGTTATTTCTTCTCATAAATAAGTTGTCATTTCCATTCTTTTGTAAGGAATTAGTTTTATCACACGCAATGTTTTTTTTTTTTTTTTGCAGGTAACACCTTTGTCTTGGGCTGAGTGGACAGTTGTCTTGTATCTTTCCTTTCCAGTAAGTGCCATATCTTCATCTTAGTTTGTAAGCTCTTGATTAAGTTATGTTCAGATGGAATATTAGCTGAAACTCCTTAACCTTGGTATATGCTGCATTTTTCTTTTGCCTCTAACCATGTTAGTATCAGTGCAAAATATTTTGCTAGGAACTACTTTGCTAAACTGGCTTGGTTTCTTGCAATACATTGACAATAAAAGGAGCCACACGACTAAGATTCCTCTTTCCAATATGTTTATATTTTACCTCCTTATTGCTGATCCTTAGCTATGCCTAAACCCCATCCACATTGTCGCCCCAGTTTTGCAGAATTTTGGTTGTTGGATTATTCAGTGGTAGGTATATGTATATTTTCACATATCATCATTGAATATGCTTTTATTTTGGATGACCTAAGTTAGCCATTTTTTTAAGTGGTTATTCTATATACTGTGGAAAAATGAATTGTTGTATATTTTAGTGAGTATTAGGGATCTATATATATAAGTACTTAGCAATCATACAGAAAAACTCAATTAATTACAAAGATTTCTAGGGGTATATTACTAATATATTCATTATCCCACTTTCCACACAAATACACTTCCCAACACTCCCCCTCAAGTTGGTGAATAGAAATTATCCATTTCTAACTTGCCAATGATAATCTGAAAGTGGGAATTATTCAAGCTTTTGGTCAATACATCTGCAAGTTGTAAAATACTAGATATTTATATTGTTCATATCAATCTACTATTGACCTTCTCCTTGATAAAGTATCGATTAAATTTAATATATTTTGTCCTATCATGTGTACAAGGTTATGAGCAATGTTAATTGCTAACTTATTATGACAATAGAGTTTCATAGGTCTATCTCAATGAGCTCACACAATCCTTTAGTCATAGCCCTAAACTTTGACTCAATATTGGATCAAAATACTACCTTCTACTTCTTACTTCTTCAAGGAATGTGCATTATCTAGATGTAGATCTTATGTCGACTAATAAACCTGAATGATCAAGGTACATATATGCTTCAAGAAGCAATCTATTATTTTTGTTGAACGTAATTCCCTTTCCTAGAGTGCCCTTCTATACTAGAATATCTTATAGGCAGTTTGCAAATGTGCTTTTGTGGGCTTATGCATAGATCGACTCACTGTACCTACTGTGTATGCAATGTTTAGTCTTGTATATGACAATTATATTAATTTTTCCGCTAGCCTCTGATACATTTCCTTCTCCACCTTGTGGTCTTTCTCTGCTAGTCCAATATATGATTGGGGTCTATCGATGTATCAATAGGTTTACATTTTTGTCAATTTCCTTCAAGTGATTTAGAATATATTTTTATTAAGATATAAATATTTTGAGTTTGAATGGGTCATTTTTATCCCGAGAAACTATTTTAATTTTTTCAACTCTTTAATCTCAAATTTTTTAGGTAGGCATTGCTTGAGGATCTTCTTCTCCTCTTCATAATTTCCTCTAACAATTATATCATCTACGTACACTAGTAAGGCTCCTATCTCCGAGTGCTCGATGAATAAAGTATGATCTCTCTGACTCTGTTTGTAGCTCATGGATAGCATTAATCTAACAAAACTCTCAAACAATGGCTGGGGAGACTATTTAAGTCCATATAATGCCTTTTTGAGCTTTCATATTTTATTTTTCTCTCCTCCTTTAACAAACCCAGGAGGAATCTCTATACAAATTTCCTCTTCCAGTTCCCAATGTAGCATTGCACTCTTCACATCGAACTGTTGCAACTGCCAATTAAAGTTAGCAATTAGGGTAATAGGATACGTACCATATTCATCTTTGGAACATGTGTAAAGGTCTTCTGATAGTCAATTCTGCATGTTTAGATATATTGTTTAGTCACTGATCTTGTCTTTTATCAGTCAATAGTTCCATCAATAGTCTCAAAGTATATGGTTTTGAAATAAGAAGGCACGTGAAGTAATAAGCAAATGACTATTTTTTCGTTTTGTGACTCCATTTTATTATGAAGTATATACGCAGGAAGACTCATGAATAATTCATTATTTTTAAAAGGTGGTGGTTAAGGTGTGGTTAAAGTAATCTTGGGTGCTATCAGTTATAAAACATTTAATTTTGGCATTAAATTGGGTTTTAATCATAGTATAAAACTGGAGAATAGTATGACTGAGTTCAGTTTTAGATTTTAATATAAAAAATTAGGTAACTTGAGTACAATCATTAATCAAGAAAACAAACCGCCATGTCCTAGATATGTTAGGAATATTAAAGGAATCTCAAGCATTACTATGAATCAATTAAAAGGAAATTTTTTATTATTAGGACTAAAAGTTACACATTGGTACTTAGCAAGTTCCCATATATTGCAGTGTAAATTTTCATTATTGTAATTAGAAAATAAATAGGAAAACATAGCCTTAAATGTGGAAAATGAAGGAAGTCCTAAACAACCACAGCTTGTCTAATATGGTGGTAGAGATAACAATGTTGAGTATGTTAGGTGTATCTAGGAAATATAATTCGTCTTAGCCTTAGCATGTCTAGTTATCTTTCCCGAATTTGGTCCTGAAGTTCACAAAGAGAATGAGAAAAAACCACTTTGCAATTAAGGTAAAAAATAATTTGGTTACTAAAATAAGATTTGTACACAATTTGGGTGTATGAAGAACATTTCAAAGAGCGAGGTGGGGATTAAGTTTTTTTATGCCAATTTCTGCTACTATAATTAGTGAATCATCAGCAGTGCCAATCTTCCTATTGCTGGGACATGGAACATTAGTGTAAAACAATTTAGGGTAGTTTTTCATATGGTCAACAGCTCCTGAGTTCAATGTCCGTGACAATGCAAGGAATTTATCTGAGATATTTTAAACCATGAGAAATAGGAAACATACTTGAGTTTTCTGTGAAACCTGTACATTTAGGTTTTTCAAGTTGCTTAAGTTGGGTTCACAGTAGTTCTACTTCTGCCTTGAAACCATAGGTCTCTATGTTCTTTTCCTCTTGAGTTACATGTGCATGTTCATGGTTTTTCTTGTATCCCCAGTCATTGCTTGAGGCAGTCAGCTTCTCATGGAGCTTCCAACATATTCTTTGGTGTCCCTTGTTTTCTTGCATAAGCTACACCAGAAGATTTCCCTTTTTCCCCACCAGCAGCAGAAGTCTCACTGTAATTTAGTTCCTTTCCTAATTGTTGAAGCTTGGAACCTTCACGTACCATGGTGGAGCTTTTAAGTTATGCAGGACTAAGGATATTACTTCATTGCGAGGTTGAGGCTTGGAACCTTCATGTACCATGGTGGAGCTTTAAGTTGTGCAGGACTAAGGATATTACTTCATTGCGAGGTTGAGGCTTGGAACCTTCATGTACCATGGTGGAGCTTTAAGTTATGCAGGATTAAGGATATTACTTCATTGCGAGGTTGAGGCTTGGAACCTTCATGTACCATGGTGGAGCTTTAAGTTATGCAGGATTAAGGATATTACTTCATTGTGAGGTTGAGGCTTGGAACTTTCATGTACCATGGTGGAGCTTTAAGTTATGTAGAATTAAGGATATTACTTCATTGATTAAGGATATTACTTCATTGCGAGGTGACATCTCTTCTTTCCCTAGAATCTGGACTTGTACTTGATCATATTTCTTATTGAGCGCTGCCATAAATTGGTAAACTCTATCTTTTCAACAATTTTTTTAAAGTGATTTTGTCCTTTTTGCTTTTTATGGTGATATTATGGTACTGATCAAGCTCTGCCATACGCCTCTCGAAAAGTTGAAATACTTTGTGATTGTCTTGTTACTTTGTTTAGTTACCAAGATTGAATGGTCACATCACACATCTGCATTGCATCTTTCTCCTTGGAATAGATCTCTAGGATTAAATTCCAAATATCCTTTGGACAGACACAACTGGCTTATTGATCTCTGGTGCCACAAAGTTCCAGTGTCAAGCCATAATTATAGAATCTTCCTCATCTCAAGCGTCAAAAGTGAGATCTCTTGGTTTTGGTCCAATGCCTAGGATACTGGCTTAGCTTTGTTATCGACCATTGAAAATTTATTGTGACCAACTCAGGTAATCCTTGCTATTGAAACGATAGACAGCCTGAATTGGTTAAAATTTGCCGTTAATTTTGTGTTGCTCCCGGTAGATTGAGGCGTACCCTTCGATATTCTTCAGAAAATTTTTGAGCTTACCAGACTGGTGGTGGCTGGCTAGAGGAATTCAGGCGCAGGTGGAGAAAGTTGCGCTGCTGGTGGCTTTGCACATAGACACGGGCAACTGGATGGGCAGAGGCTGGCACAGCAGAGGGCAAGCGTTCAATTGGCAGATGCAGTGGCTAGGAGCAGCAGCAGAGAGCTAGACAGTGTGAGACAGATGGTGGTCGTGCAGATAGACAGAAATGTGTGCTACTGGAGGATTCTAGTGCTGGCGATGAAGGCCAGTTTGACTGCTGGTGGTGGTTGGTGGCTGCGACTGGTCTAGGGTGGCGAACTATGAAGACGCCTCACCTCTCTATAACTTTTTTGTAGTTCAACAACGAAGATCGAATAGGGTTTTTAATCTAATATTTTGATACCATGTGAAAAAATGAATAATCATATAGTTTATTGAGTATTAAGATCTATGTATACAAGTTCCTAGCAACCATATAAGGAAACCTAATTAATTATAAAGATTACAGGTACTCTACTTTCGATACAAGTACACTTCCCAACATATCTAAATTCATGTGTATGTTAGTATATTTTTGCTATATGTTAAGAAACTAAGCCTTGGGTTGTGGGAAATCAGAGTGTTTTTGGGAAATTTTCCAGAGTTAAAAAAAAAGAAACTGGTAAAAATCATGTTTAGTTGTTAGAAAGCAGAAAACTGAAATTTAAGAAACAAGGAGCCCATTTAGGATATGAAAGTATTTTTTTAGTTTTCATTTCCTAAATTCATATATATTTGTAAATTTTGCGTGAAAATCTGATAATATGTGTATGCGTGATATTTAGTTTAAATAAAATTTCTATAGAACTAATTTTGAATTTTTTCATTATTTCCGAAGAAGATATATATTTTCATCTTGTCACGCCTGCTTTTCTTCTAATGTTATATGCATGTAAGTATTCATGCATACATACATGTAATTGTTAGTATCCTCTGTTGGCTTTGGGCTAATGCTCACGGTTTTTTCAAGGGGTTGCCGTTATCTATGTCTTACAAGGATTGGATTTCTATTTGTCTTTAAGGTTTTCTATTTTAGTTTTTGTTTTTCTTGTTTCCTTTTTTGGGGTGAGGAATATCTTATGCTCTCTTGTTTTATACATTACTTCTCTCCTCAATAAAGTTATTTTTTTAATAAATATATATAATAAATACTAAAAATATTTCATATACCAAATGAAGGCTAAACTTTACATTGTAGGATTTCAATCTTCCAAGATCATTTTGATGCTAATTAATGCCAACTTTGAACAAGAAATAACATGCATATGATCAATATGACTCGGGAAAAATTCCCATGGTAGGATTATGTAATGCTAGCATTATATGGAGTACATTTTCAAGCTGTATCTTTGGAAAATCCTTCTTCAAAAGTATGTACTACAAGATGAAGACCTTAAAACTTATTGCAATCTCTAGTGTGCATGGAACTAGGGCATGATTATAGGTAGTGATTGCATTTTTTCTCGTAAATAAAGGAATAAATAAATAAATAACTGTTAGGGATGGCATCTTTTCTCTTAATAATTCATCATCTATTTGGTCTGCATGGCCAAATAACCTCATCTTATACGACCTTGCATCTGAACCGAAGTATTTCCTTTTTTTGCCATAGGTTATAATTATTGATGAGTTGCTGAAGTTTGTATCGAGGAATTCCAGTGGTAAAGTTTATTATTTCTTTTTCTTTTTTTCCTTTTTTTTTGGTTCTCGCACTATTTTTGATTTCCCAGTCTATAGATAGAATTTCATTGTACATTATCCTGTATTCTTGTCCCTTTGATATTTTTTTATTAAATCATTTGGGAATTTGTGCAATTATCTTGAACTTGTACCCTGAACCATTTTCATTCAAGTAATCACATCATGACCACAGTGATAGCTAAGTGGTAAGGGCGTCATTCTTTGTGCTTTCAGTCACATTATGAGAAAGGAATATTTCTCTTGCATCTGTGTTTGTAGGGTTGGGGTAACGGGTTTGAGGTAACAGATTGATTCTAGAGATCATTGATACGGCTCAAAATATCGGGTGAAAACTCCTACAGTTACACTCCAAGAGATTAGTTAGTTAAAGCTTGTAGCCTATTGCCACTTCATTTTAAGAAAAGAGTGATCACATCATGGTTTTATGGAAGCTTTTGAGGATTACCAACTGGGCCATTAGATGGTCTGCACTCATGTGTGACTATATCAGCATCTGATTTTCTTTTTTACTTGTAAATTTTAAATTTGATTCTATTTTTACAATCATCTTAATAAATTTGAGTGGATAATTTGTTTAACTTTTTATTTTTAATTAAATAATGTAATGGCCTGAAATCATTCTTTGGATGCAGGCATAAGATTCAAGTTCAGATTCAGGAGACCTGATTTACTTCCGAAAAAGGACTTGCACGATAAGTAGAAGATTCCATACATAACTCAGATTTTGTTTACTCACAGTGAACTTACTCGAATACTGTAATGAAAGGAATATAGGAATTTATCTTTAGATATTTGACCAAATAGGATCTTCTGGTTCTTATAGAATCTATCACTAAAATACCCCTCTAAGCAATGCGAAAAGGGTTTCCATGAGATGAGAGATAAAAACTATAATGAAAAGAAATATTACTCAGCCTGCAGTATACATACTCGAAAGTGTAAGGACACCCTTGTACTAAATCCATGCATCTTTGGTGTGAAGATGGGGAAAGAAAGAAGATGCCCCAATGAAGTTCAGCCAAAGATATCTTGCTGCAATTGATATTAGGTAAACACCCTTGTGCTCAATTCATGCATGATTGTTGCAAATAGCAGTGTGGCTTTTGATACCGGAAGCAGACATCTGTTTTCTATCTGTTCACTCTAAAGAGGAGGATTGTATCAGTTTACAGGCTCATTAATTTATTGGTTTGGACAAAATATTTATGATAAAGCATAAATGATTGTTCTATTATTGTTTTTGTTCGCTTTGGTGGCAAATATAATTTGTCTCAGTAAGTCATGCGTCCCTATACATCCAATTAAACTCTGTTAGGAAGCTCAAGACATATTATTATGTTGATGGCTTAAATTCTTTCAAATACATTACCAGTGTTTGTAAAATTCTGACTGTCAACTTGAGGGCTATATTTATCTTGGCCACTTAAATTCTTTTTATTCCAGTATTAATTACTTAGATTTTCTCCCAATTTGAGGCAAAATCTCATACACCTAAGTTAGAGTTAGGAAACTTTCTTAATTATAGAGAAGTTAATGTGCTCTTTTAAAGTCAAATTTCTTCACTAGAATAATGTTTCATCAAGATTTAAGAAAAGTTGGTCGCATCATGTTTTTAAAAATCACATCCAGTGTTTGGACGGTTAGTATTGGACTGTTCAGGCCTTGTCATACATGTATAAACATATACAAAATATATATACAGAATACTGTGATTGAGAATGAGATGTATCATGATTTTGAAAGGTTATCAGAGAGGTTCTCCACTTATCCACCTTTTAAACATAACTGAGCTCTCTTCAGGTCTGAACATAGTCGTGTGTCCTCCACCCTGCCACGACTCACAGGAATGAAAAACAAAACTAAAAAAAATAAATAAATAAAAACTGGCAGTCATAATGCAGTATATGAAAATATTTTTTAAATTTATTAATTTGCGTATATATACGCTTCAATCTCTATAATATATGCACCAACTGCATATATATATATATGCACACACGTGTACGGTCATACATATTCATACTCTGTATGTATCTATAGGCACGTATAAATTGAAGTTATACATTTTCTACTTAAATTAGTTATATTTCCAACAAAACTATGTATCACGCATATTTTCATACACACCCGTATTATATAAAATAAATAACATGTATAAAAACAGAAACTATAATTTTCCACATTAAATAATTTAAAATAGATGGAGCTCGCTATATAATTTTTAAAAAATATTTATTAAATGGGTCAACTGTTAAATTTTCTTACCTTTATGGTGGCGAATGTCATTTTATTAGAGTAAGTCCTTGTGTACCTATATATCAAACTAAACTTTCTTAGGGAGCTCACTATATATATGTTAAGAAAAAAAATTATAGAACGTTGGAAATTAGTAGACAAATAATCTGAAGTTAAAGGATTAATCACCCTGCAACTTGACCACTTAGCATCCATGGCCTCCAGTCATCAACAATGGAGTAATTTAGAGATCGTATCCACGCCTGAGTTCCCAAGAATGGCATCGTCAAGTCATGATCTCCACTGTTGTTAATTCATAATTCAATTAGAAAATATAATTAACAAGATAATATAAATATATCTATACATATATATACACCAAAGAATATATGACATAATAAATATAATATACTCATGTGATAATTAAAGTAGATCCATCTGGTAACTTTGTTTTTTACTTGTAAATTAAAGAACGGTAGCCCTTAACGCTGAGGTTTGCATGGTAAGGAATACTGTTTTGAATATCTCTAATATAAGGCATATTTTTGTTGCATCGCCGCCATTTCTCTATACTTCCCTGCAATCAATTCAATTATAATAGATTATTCCTCTAATTTCTCAATTACTTATCATTAAAAATTTTTTCATTATACTTTAATTTATATTTATAAAATTATTTATATTTTTAACTCCAAATATAATATATATATATAGTACAACTTTGTAAATACCTCGTGTATATGGAGTGCTTGGCGAACGCTATAGTCATTAGCCCAATAATCAGCCAGCAAATATCCGTAAGTCTATACATACACCCAAGACAAGTTAAAAGAGAAAAAAAAAAAAAGGAATTAAGGAAAATGAGTATATACATATTTATAACCTATTAACTGTTAAATATTCCTAATTAAATTTTTCACGCAAATATTAAAAAAAAATGAATGAATGAATAAATAAGAAGAAAGAAATATTTACGGGGCAGCCAAGTGTTGGAACTGATAATTGGGAGTCATGAAAATAATGAGAAGTCAGAGATCTTCTTTCACTAAAACTCTGTTGTGGCTTTGGGGAAGCAAAATCACAAGAAGGTGCCAAAATATAATTCTCATATAGCTCTGATGTGCACTGGAAAAAGAAAATGTATAAAAGAATTATATTGGAACCCAGATATAACAAACTTGCTTATTAAATTCATCTATGCAGAAACAACAAAAATTTGTGTCCTTAAAATAATAATTCATGCATGTATAACTCTTGGTGTCCTTAGGAATTTGCTTACCATTTCATAGGCTTCAACAGCTCTTGTACATTCTTTGTTGCTGGGATTCCCTCCTTCACAGTTGGACTTCCATGCCTATGGAGATTGTACTTGTATAAATAAAAATTAAACCAATTCTTTTTTTGTTTTTTTTCTCTTTTCCTCTTTATTTAATCTAGATGCTATAATAAACTATAATTTCAATACCAGTGATTCTAGTCTACCTTCAGTTTAATATTTTAATTTTGTTTAGTGACCCATTCAATCTTTTGTTTTCTTCTACATATTTTTTTTATTTATTAAAAGTTAAAATAAATGTATATATCATTTTAAATTTAAGCAAAAATATTAATGATTTGTAATTAGTAATTTATTAATGTAAAAGTATATGATTCATAAAAATACTTGGTTAAATGAAGTGTGTAACCGTGAAGAAATTATTTACCTCATAGATTTCATCGGATATAAGTCCCATCCCATGAGCAAATAAGAATCTGAATTTGCGAAAAGAAGTCAAGTCTGTCATAGGGCTTCCAAGTACATATCCCTGAAAGAATTAATCCTCTACTTATTCACACCTAATCAATTCAACTTTCAACACAATAATTATTCTGAAAGAATTAATCCTACTTGTTCCTAGCTATTAAAAAAAATGTATAAGAACCTGAAGATTCCTTAGAGGTTTGATGCCTTGTTCATTCTCTGCAAAGATAACAATTAGCCAGTAAGATAATCTTGCTTAGAGCTAATAATAGAAAGCAGAAGTTAATTTAACAAATTTCTATCTAGTAATTAAAGTGTTGAATATAATGAAGTTTCATTACCGTTTGAGATTTGTTGAACAAGAGCAGGCAGAGGAATGCCAGAGTAGGAAGACCCACCAATATATAATGGATTCAATAGAAATTCTGGATGAATTATCAGCCACTTCAAATAAATGCCAACAAGAAAGAGAAATTTTTA